TTCTATACCCCTCTGATTATATAATGGTTAATGTTACAATATCATAGCACACCAACAGGGATCAGCAACAATAATAAGCCTAATACTCACAATAAAAATAATGTAATATAGATCATAACACAGTCTCGGAGGTAAGAAGTGGATTATCCTTCACGTGAAATGTTTGTCTTTTCTTCCTGAAATGCGAAGCAAATGTTGGATCACAATAATTATGATCCAGTTTCCCCAAACCCCTTCACTGGATTGGGATGTTCTCTTTTCTTCTGGAGGGCAAGGGCAGTGACTGTAACATCGAGCGTATTTTGCAGTATTAAACACGTATTTATACCGATTTCATCAGGCTCCGGAAATTCTTCAAGAAGAGCACAAAGAATGGCCTTCTCAGCCGCCATAGCTGCAACTCTTGCGTCATCAGAACAGTGTGTTCAACGCACCACCATTTCTGTTTAAAACACGTTTTGCTCCGTTTTTGTCGGGGCTGAACGCAGCCCTGTTTTTAGTTGCATCAATAAAGGTGTCATAAAAGAAAAGCCCTCGGGATTTCATTTTTTTGTCCTATATCATCTCGCTTGTTTGCAGCACCTTTATTCTAAGCTCAAGTGCACATCATAACAATATCAAGGTATTATCATGGTGGATTTATCATTATATGTCAAATGCTGTATGATTTTAAATATGTTAATGAATCTGCATTTTAACAATTGAAGACTTAACTGCAGTATATCTGTTTTGTAAAGTTGTCGACCATCAAATATATATATATATATAGGCCTATTTATATGTGTGTGTGTGTGTGCGTGTTCTCTATTATTGACCAGTGATCACATATCAGAATTCCATAGTTAATTAAATATTTTAAAATCTGTATTCAATCAATTTAATTTCTTATTAAAATACAATTGTTTAAAACACGTTTACCACTTCGTACGTTTTATGCCTGTTTTTGTAATGTTCATGAGAATCAAAAAGTGTTACAAAATAAAAGCCCGCATTTTGTCCAGGGCCAATCCATTTCAAGCAATTGAATTCACTTTAGGGGCTTGGATCAAATAACATTTAAATCTCATATAGTGTAAGTTGTCCTCTTCTTTAATTAAAGCTCCCATCAATAGGTAAGCACAAATGCTAACGTGAGTGGTTTGTGTGTGTGTTGAAGGGAGCGGCGCGTGAGCGCGGAGGAGGGCGTGGCGTGACGCGACGCGACGCGTCTGACGCGTCTGACGCGGCGAGCTGGATCAGCCGAAGTGAAGTCTCCTCTAACACTTCAGTAGATCAGTGTCGCTCTTGGCGCTTTCAAAATAACATTGTTTGCCAGAAATGGAGGTAAATACATACAACATTCAAGTGCTTCTGCAGGCAGCTGAGTATTTGGAGCGGAGGGAAAGAGGTATTAGACGCGTTATTTCTTTCACGTTGTTTGCATTGAAACCGAAGCCGTTTTGGACAGTCTGCTGTTTGCTTGTGTTTTGCACACATTCGTTAATGTTTGTATTAATTTTTTCCTCATGTGAGCACTGGGTGTGTCTTCTCTTTTGCAGAGGTTAGTTCGTGTATCTGTAGAGTAATAAACATCGCTTTTATTGTTGATGTTGTCGTGTTTGGCTCGCTGACCTACATTTCAGTTCTGTATTGTGCACAAAGGCGCGAAATCGTCATAGATTTGAAAATGTAGCAGCGCTGGCCGTTACTCTGCTACAGTTACAGCGGCTCAGACGTCGCGTAAATTACTGGATACATAGTTACAGCGGAAAGCTTTGATTTCAAAAGCGCCAAAGCGTTCGATGGCGCCAAAACCAGAAAGCGGTCTCGCTACAGCTGCTTTGATGAGACGCTGACATATAGCAGATGTTTCCTGTATCTGGTATAGCAGAACGTTAATATTTGTCTTTTTAGATTTATAATCAGGCAACGGTCATATGCCCGATGTTTCTGTAGATGTCAGAAATAACTTATTTTTAGCTTGTGTATATAAAGGTCGTATATAAAAGGAAGTAGGCTGGGCTATTAATCACTCATGTTATGTTTTATACATTTTCAGAGGCCGAGCACGGTTATGCCTCAGTGCTTCCATTCTACAGTAAAGGAGTTACAGATAAGAGAAAAAAGCAGAAATCAAAGAGTCATTCGCCTGGGAGCAGCAGGTGAGTGTAAGGTGTTGCTTTGTTATTGTACGCTCTGTGCATCTTCTAAAACAGTGGTTCCCAACACTGGTCCTTGAGGCACCCCAACACTGCACGTTTTGTATGTCTCCTTAATCAAACACACCTGATTCAGGTCATCAGCTCATTAGTGGAGAGAACAAGACAGGGGTGCCCAAACTCGGTCCTGCAGAGTTTAACTCCAACTTGCTTCAATACACCTGCATTCAAGTTTCTAGTTTGTCTAGTAAGAGCTTGATTAGCTGGTTTAAGTGTGTTTAATTGGGGTTGGAGCTAAATTCTTCAGGACACCGGCCCTCCAGGACCGAGTTTGGGCACCCCTGCTCCAAGACCTGTTATTGGTGCGTCAGAGAAAGGAGACAAGCAAGATGTGCAGTGTTGGGGTGCCTCCAGAACCAGGGTTGGGAACACTGTTCTAAAACACTGATTAGCGGCTAGCGAGATTCTTGTTATTCAAAAAATATTTAATTTTATTCTACAACGATCTTCTTGCTTTTGATTTTTTTTAATGCAAATGAATGAAAGAAAGGCATTTGCTTCCATTTAGACAACTTGAAGTGTTAGTTCATCCAAAAATGATTATCATTATTTACTCACTATAGTAAACGCTCCGTTTTTCAGTTAAAGTCAGTTCGTTCTCGATTCAGTTCTATTTAAGAACTCTGTAACGTTCATCAGTTATGGAATGAGTTCATTTTTTTTCAATGAAGCAGCTCTGGAGAAAACAGTGATGTCATCATCCAGCTCAGTTCAGGGGTCAGTTGCATAGATTGTCTTAAGAGCTAGTTTGACCAACTAGCAGTTGTCTTACTTTTCCAATACAAATAAGACCAATCTACCTTTTCATAACTGAAGGGAAGTTGTGGCCTAATGGTTAGAGAGTTGGACTCGTAACCCAAAGGTTGCAGGCTCGAGTCTAGTACGGGATTGTAGATGGGGGGAGTGAATGTACAGCACTCTCTCCCACCTTCAATACCATGACTGAGGTGCCCTTGAGCAAGGCCCCCAAAAAATGGCTGCCCACTGCTCCGGGTGTGTGTGTGTTCACAGCTGTGTGTGTGCACTTTGGATGGGATAAATGCAGAGCACTAATTCCTAGTATGGGTCACAATACTTGGCCACATGTCACGTCACTTTTAAGACTAGTCTAAACAGTTTATGCAACTGGCCCCAGTTCTCATCAGTAGTGTCTGTGCAATCAAGTCAGATATTAAGTGTCCCCAAATATTAAGTGCTGAATTGATTATATTAAGTACTTTTAACTGTAGGTCAATCTAACTAGATGGTAATGTCTACAAAATGCTTATCCACACACATCTTATACAAAAAAAAAAAAGAG